AATAAAAATACACTAAACTTAAGTTACAGCTTTACTGAAAACTTAGAGAAAATTATTAAGAAACATAATGCTAATATCTTGAATAAACACTTAGGTAAAAACGAAAAAATTTAGACAATATAAAAATAAGATGAGATGAAGATAAACAAAAATTATGTAACTGGAGAAATCCTTATAACTGTCCTCTACAAAATAAATGTCACACGGAATCATTAGTATAACAATGCAATATCTCATGTATTGAGAATCCCCAAAACATCAAAATCTATATAAGTTGCACAAGCCATGAGTTCAAAAAGAGATTCAATCAACATCAAAGTTCATTTATGATAAATAAATACCGAAATCAGAGGTCCCTATCGAAATATTTCTGGTACTTAAAACAAACCAATAAAACACCTACAGTAAAATGGAAATTAATAAGAAAAGCTAGAATATGTAGGTCATTAAATGACCCATGTCCTTTGTGCATACACGAGAAACTATATATTACTAATTTTATAAAAATAAAAATTTACTGAATCAAAGAAATGAAATAGCTATTCTTTGCCGGCATAGTCAAAAATTTTCCTTAAATAATATTTGAAAAAGAAAATTGGGAGCTGGTAATATACATACTTATATTTGAAAAAATAATTTTAAATAATTTAAGTAATTCTATTACAGTTATTTGTTTTAAAAAGAAATATTGTCTATTAGTAATTAAGAGTAAAAATAATATTTTAAAATGATAGTTCAATATAACATATTCTAATCCAAACAACCCTTTTAGAAAAAAAAATTATGTATACAAGTAAGAATTTAATGGAAAAAAAATGCCGAAAACCTTCTTCTCGTTGATAAAAAAAAAGACTACATGCGTTGAACGGATGTCAAAATTCGTTGAAAAATGCACCCCTACCCTACCTAACGTAACTCATAATTGATACAATAATAGTTAATAAAAATGAACACGCTACCGCCCCTGTCTAAATGATTGGATTTGTCTGTGTCCTTGGAAACAAAAAATTATGAATTGTATGTGCGTTTAAAACTCAGTAAATTTTAAAATAAGTTATTCCAAAATTCGCTTGAGGACAAAACAGAACTAATGCTTTTAATTTAATTATGTAATTGAATCTGAAGTTTTTAGCTTCGGTTTTTGAAACATGGTAATTCCTGTGTAGCGAAGAAACCATATTTTAAATCGGTTAATTTATAATAGTTTATAATTATACTCTGTAAATTTACATTGAGCACTGTTATGTAAAAATAAAAATATCAATTAAAAACACCGGATTATATATCTTACTTTTCTTTCCTTTTATTATATATATATATATATATATATATATAGGGCATTAAAGTTAAAAGCAAGAGGAGGTCGTCTGTTTCATGCTAAATGCAATCGTCTCCAGTGTCCTCTTTTATACATAAGCTCTATCCCCATAAATATAGCATACATTAAAAATAATCTATATATATATGTATGTGTGTGTTCGGTGTGTGCGTGTCATATATAAAAATATATATATAAATACGCATGTGTGTGTTTATGTGTCTGAATATGTGTATTCCTGTTTGTGTGTGTGTGTGTGTGTCTGTGTGTGTATGTGTTGCGTCGTGTATATATATATATATATACCATATATATATATATATATATATATATATATATATATATATATATATTATTTATTCAAAAATTATAACATAAATATATTATAAAATCACTACAAAATAGCCATTTTGTTTCAACACTTCTGGTGTCTTATCAAGTGATGGTGTTGAAGACACCAGAGGTGTTGAAACAAAATCGCTATTTTTTAGAAATTCTCATATTTATGTTATAATTTTCGAATAATAATGATATTCGCTCTACTCTGTATTGAGCGCTCTTTTAAGAATAGTAATTGTTGGTTATTGGAATTTATTCTGTATACACCAATCCTATACTTGCATATATATATATATATATATATATATATATGTGTGTGTGTGTGTGTGTGTGTGTGTGTGTGTGTACACATACCGACACATCCACGCATACAAACATTGGACAAATACATTCACGCACGTATGTGTGAGTGTGTGTATGTGTGTGCGTGCATGTTGTATTGTGTGTGCGCGTTTGTGTGTCCGTGTCTCTGTGTGCGTTCGTGCCTGCCTGAGGGTGTGAGTGTCTGTGTCTGCCTGAGGGTGTGGAGGGCACAGTGACGCGATAAATCCTCCCAGTTATCCGTCAGCGATCGTTCAGACGGACGAAGATGAAAGCCCGAAACAAAATGACCTCGTCTTGAAACTCATTCTTTACCGACATGACTTTTTTCTCCGCCAGCCGTAGCAGGAAATAAAATGCGACGCCGAGGGTATCCACTCAGGACACTCAAGTGGGTGGGAGATGTTGTCTTGTTTTATGACGGTCCTCAAATTTCATTCGTAACCTTTGTCACACTCCTTCAAGCTTTTTTTTTTTTTTTCGCTCCCTTCTTTGTTTTCAGTTCAACCTATACCTTATCAGGTTCATTTTTTGTAACAAGGTACCAGTTTCTTCTTCTTCTTCTTCTTCTTCTTCGTTGTCGTCGTCATTTTTTTTCTTCGTCGTCTTCCACGTTTTCTTCTTCGTCTTCTTCGTCGTCTTCTTCATCATCATCTTCATTGTCGTCTCCGTTTTCTTCTTCTTCTTCGTTGTTGTCGTCGTCGTCTTCTCTATCTTCTTCTTCTTTGTCGTCTTCTTCGTTTTCTTCTCCGTCTTCATCGTCTTCATCATCTTCTCCTTCGTCTTCTTCTTCATCGTCTTCTTCTTCGTCTTCGTCTTTGTCTTCTTCGTCATCTTCTTCGTCTTCTTCTTCGTCGTCGACTTCGTCTTCATCTTCTTCGCCTTCCTCTTCGTCTTCTTCGTTGTCTTCTTCATCGTCTTCTTCTTCATCTTCTTCGTCATCTTCGTCTTCGTCGTCGACTTCATCATCGTCTTATCCTTCGTCTTCTTCTTCATCGTCGTCTTCGTCTTCATCTTCTTCGCCTTCCTCTTCGTCTTCTTCGTTGTCTTCTTCATCGTCTTCTTCTTCGTCATCTTCGTCTTCTTCGATTTCTTCTTCGTCTTCTTCTTCGTCGTCGACTTCATCATCGTCTTATCCTTCGTCTTTTTCTTCATCGTCGTCGTCTTCGTCTTCTTCGCCTTCCTCTTCTTCGTCTTCTTCGTTGTCTTCTTCTTCAGCGTCTTCTCGTCGTCTTCGTTTTTGTCTTCTTCGTCGTCGTCGTCCCATTACAAGTGGATTTGATCCCGGCGCCGTAACGTCTCTGCCGCCTCGTGGAGAAAAAGACTAAAATGTAAATATCGTATAAAAATAAAATTAAAAGAAAAAAAAACGAAAAAATTGGATCCCAGTGAATTAGGATCGAACTCGTTACCAGTGAATTTAGCGACTAGTTGGAGAACATCTCAACTCAACCCGATGAAGCAAACACTTCTCTTCCCTCACCAGAAGCATACCGAGAATACCATTGACTGGACATATGACTAAAGAGCAAATTTTAAGGAAAATGTAAAGAAAAAAATACGTTTATACTTACAATCAGAACGAGAAAGCTGAAATGTCAAGCAAACATAATTAGGAAAGTGGATTGAGAGAATTTGAAACTCTCTGTTTGACCTGCCTTTCTCTTTCTCTCTCTCTCTCTATATATATATATATATATATATATTTCTTTTTTTTAAGCATTTTCTTCTTTCGCTCCCTTCTTTGCGTTCCGTCCAACCTACACTTTTCAAGTTCAGTTTTTGCAAAATTGCTTGATTAATTCGTTTTTACGGTTTATCAACCCTTTTCAGCTTATTTAAAGCCAGAAAATATTTAGATTGTAGATTCATACCTAATTCAAAATTTGGTAAACCCAAAAGAAATTATAACGTGGATATAAAGTAGGACTCAATTCTCTATTACAATCTATATATAAACGGATCCCTCATTTTGTGGCCACGGTAGTTTCTATACATGTGTATAACAGAGAATGTAAATACATTTAAAAGGCATGCCTGTGTAGCTAATCAGTATTTCCTGATTAATTTATTCGTTTTTACGGTTTATCAACACTTTTCAGGTTATTTAAAGCCAGAAAATATTTTTAGATTGTAGATTCATACCTAATTCAAAATTTGGTAAATCCAAAAGAAATTATAACGTGGATATAAAGTAGGGGTTCAATTCTATATTGCAGTCAATATATAAACTGATCCCTCACTTTGTGACCACGGTAGTTTCTATACATTTATAGTCAAGAGAATGGAAATAAATCTAAAAGACATGCCTGTGTAGTTAATCAGTATTTCATTGATTGCTTGATTCGTTTTCCATGGGGGTGGGTATCATAGATTCGGGGGTGGCAGCACGAAACCCCTGCACCGGCCCTGTACAAATCGAAGCCATAAGTCTCCATTCACACTTTCAAAGTGATATATAAATTAAAATTCAAGAATAGATTGGTTCGTCTATCGCTCGATTCACATTCCTCTTCGTTCTTTTGACAGAAGTAGAGGCGTATCCACTGTTTCCTGTTTAAAGTTTGTTTTCCGGTTCATTCTAAAGTCGACTTCAATTCTGAATTCCTAACCCTTGAAATCGTATTTACTATTTTTTTTAATTTCTTCAATAGAAACAAATAGGTTCGCCTATCGTCCAGTTTACAACTCTTCCTGTTGTTTTGAACAGGAGCAGAAGGTTTATCGATTGTTTCCCGTCAAGGATTAGGGTCGTGGATTCTTCTAAAGCCTTTCTTATTCTCAGTAGCCCCCTTACATCTTATCGCTTTGCTTGGGGAGAATTGATTTTAAAAAATAATCCAGGTAATTGTATTTGACTGTATGCAAATTTGTGTGGTGGTGGGTAATAAGAAAGAAAGAAAAAAAAAAGAAAGAAAGAAAGAAAGAAGAAGTGATAACAGGCGTTGAGACAGAAAGAAGAGGGAGTAATAATAACGTTATTAGGTGTTAAAGAAAGAAAGTTTATAATGAAATGCGAAAGAAATGAAGTTCAATAAATAAAGACAAAGAGTAAAATTAAAAGAAAGAAAAAAAAGAGTAAAATAAAAAGAAAGAAAAAAGAGTAAAATTAAAAGAAAGAAAAAAAGATTACAATTAAGGAAAGTGAAAGATAAAAAAATTTATAAAATATAATGAATAAAAGAATGATGGTCAATAAATATATCAAGAAATGAATTTGAAAAAAAAACGAAAAAGACTGAATGTCCGTTAAAAAAACATATTGAAAATAAGTGGAGAAAACACGGGTTGAAACTAGTTTTAGACCGTAGATTTTTACAAGGTTGTAAAACAAAACAATAAAGATAAGACAACAGCTGATATCAGTGGACAACCAATGCAAGGGGTAAAGGGTATTTCCCTACAAGTTTTGACCGGTTGTAAATCTTGAACTTTAGGGAGAGTAAAGAAATAATGACTACAATCCAATCGTTTAGATCTTTTCTTACATTTCCCTGGGTTTAACTCCTTTTCTCTCCCCAAAAAGACACTCGACAAGGACGCCATCTTTAAGAAAGGAGTCTTACTTTGGCGCCAATTGATGAGACGGAGAATTTAAGGTTATTAATTTTAAATAGGTTGGTTGTTTTTATTTTTTTGTCTTACTTTTCTTTTTCATTTTTATCTGTGCTTTTTATCGCAGAGTTCCGGCCTTTTTTTTATATTTGACGACTGATCAATAAGTAGTGGGGATAATCAGAAATAAAGATGTCTCCAATACGATTTGAACTTTTAGCTTCTATACAGTGTAACCCGGATATAAGAGAAACCCGGATATAAGAGAGATTTTCTCTGGTCCCAAATTAGAGCCTGTGTTAATGTATATAAAATAGACCAAACCCGGATATAAGAGAAACCCGGATATAAGAGAGATTTTCTCTGGTCCCAAATTAGAGCCTGTGTTACTGTATATAAAATAGACCAAACCCGGATATAAGAGAAACCCGGATATAAGAGACTTCTTCTCCGGTCCCGACAACTCTCTTATATCCGGGTTACACTTGAGACGAAAACTTAATAATTTGAAATTAGAAGAGGCGGGCGAAGCAGCTGCTGAAGTTCAGAAAGCTTTCTTTCTGGCGGCTCTTTCTCTTTCTTTCTTTCTTTCTTTCTTTCTTTCTTTCTTTCGTTCCATGCTTTGTGTTCTTTCTTTCCTTCTTTCTTTCTCTCTATTTCTTTCTACCTTTTCTTCCTTTCTTTCTTTCTTTCTTTCTGACAGCTCTATTTCTTTCTTTCTTTCTTTCTTTCTTTCTTTCTTTCTTTCCATGCTTTGTGTTCTTTCATTCCTTCTTTCTGTCCCTTTATTTCTTTCTAATACCACTTTTTTCTTCCTTTCTTTCTCTTTCCTTCTTTCTTTCTGACAGCTCTATTTCTTTCTTTCTTTCTTTCCCTTTCTTTCTTTCTTTCCCTTTATTTCTTTCTAATACCTCTTTTTTCTTTCTTTCTTGCTGTTTTCTTTCTATTTCTTTCTTTCTTTCTTTCCTTCTTTCCATGTTTTGTGTTCTTTCTTTCCTTCTTTCTGTCCCTTTATTTCTTTCTAATACCTCTTTTTTCTTCCTTTCTTTCTCTTTCTTTCTTTTTCTTTTCTTTCTTTCTTTCCATGCTTTGTGTTCTTTCTTTCTAATTCTTTCTTACAGCTCTTTTTTCTTTCCTTTTTTCCTTCTTTCTTTCTTTCTTTCTTTCTTTCTTTCAGCTCTTTTTCTGTTCGCACTCATTTTATTTCGTCTTTGTTTTCTTTTTACTTTTATCTTTCAAACATTTCTTTATTTTTTTTATTTTTTCATTCTGTTTTACTTTTATTTTTGTCTTCGTTTTTTTTTGCGTACTTTTCTTTCTTTTATTTATCTTTTCTTTCATTTTCCTTTCTTGTCTGTGCTTTTGGATTTTTTCTTTTCTTTCTTCCTTTAATCTATCTTTCTTTTTCTTTTCTTTTCTTTCTTCCTTTAATCTATCTTTCTTTTTCTTTCATTTTCTCTCTTCCTTTAATCTATCTTTCTTTTTCTTTCCTTTTTTTCTTCCTTTAATCTATCTTTCCTTTTCTTTTCTTTTCTTTCTTCGTTTAATCTATCTTTCCTTTTCTTTTCTTTTCTTTCTTCTTTTAATCTATCTTTCTTTTTCTTTTCTTTTCTTTCTTATTTTAATCTATCTTTCTTTTTCTTTTCTTTTCTTTTCTTTCTTCCTTTAATCTATCTTTCCTTTTCTTTTCTTTTCTTTCTTCCTTTAATCTATCTTTCCTTTTTTTTTCTTTTCTTTCTTCGTTTAATCTATCTTTCCTTTTCTTTTCTTTTCTTTCTTCTTTTAATCTATCTTTCTTTTTCTTTTCTTTTCTTTCTTATTTTAATCTATCTTTCTTTTTCTTTTCTTTTCTTTTCTTTCTTCCTTTAATCTATCTTTCTTTTTCTTTTCTTTTCTTTCTTCTTTTAATCTATCTTTCTTTTTCTTTCCCTTTCTTTCTTCCTTTAATCTATCTTTCCTTTTCTTTCCTTTCTTCCTTTAATCTATCTTTCATCCTTTAATCTATCTATCTTACTTTTTCTTTTCTTTTCTTTCTTCTTTTAATCTATCTTTCTTTTTCTTTCTTTTCTTTCTTCCTTTAATCTATCTTTCTTTTCTTTTCTTTTTTTTTCTTCCTTTAATCTATCTTTCTTTTCTTTCATTTTTCTCTTCCTTTAATCTATCTTTCTTTTCTTTTCTTTTTTTTCTTTTAATCTATCTTTTTTTTTCTTTTTCTTTTCTTCGTTTAATCTATCTTTCCTTTTCTTTTCTTTTCTTTCTTCTTTTAATCTATCTTTCTTTTTCTTTTCTTTTCTTTTCTTTCTTCCTTTAATCTATCTTTCTTTTTCTTTTCTTTTTCTTTCTTCTTTTAATCTATCTTTTTTTTCTTTCCCTTTCTTTCTTCCTTTAATCTATCTTTCCTTTTCTTTCCTTTCTTCCTTTAATCTATCTTTCATCCTTTAATCTATCTATCTTACTTTTTCTTTTCTTTTCTTTCTTCCGTTAATCTATCTTTCTTATTCTTTCATTTTCTCTCTTCCTTTAATCTATCTTTCTTTTTCTAGCCTTTCTTTCTTCTTTTAATCTATCTTTCTTTTTCTTTCTTTTCTTTCTTCCTTTAATCTATCTTTCTTTTTCTTTTCTTTTCTTTCTTCCTTTAATCTATCTTTCCTTTTCTTTTCTTTTCTTTCTTCCTTTAATCTATCTTTCCTTTTTTTTTCTTTTCTTTCTTCGTTTAATCTATCTTTCCTTTTCTTTTCTTTTCTTTCTTCTTTTAATCTATCTTTCTTTTTCTTTTCTTTTCTTTCTTATTTTAATCTATCTTTCTTTTTTCTTTTCTTTTCTTTTTCTTTCTTCCTTTAATCTATCTTTTTTTTCTTTTCTTTTCTTTTTCTTCTTTTAATCTATCTTTTTTTTTTCTTTCCTTTCTTTCTTCCTTTAATCTATCTTTCCTTTTCTTTCCTTTCTTCCTTTAATCTATCTTTCATCCTTTAATCTATCTATCTTACTTTTTCTTTTCTTTTCTTTCTTCTTTTAATCTATCTTTCTTTTTCTTTCTTTTCTTTCTTCCTTTAATCTATCTTTCTTTTTCTTTTCTTTTCTTTCTTCCTTTAATCTATCTTTCTTTTTCTTTCATTTTCTCTCTTCCTTTAATCTATCTTTCTTTTTCTTTTCTTTTTTTCTTCCCTTAATCTATCTTTTCTTTTCTTTTCTTTCTTCGTTTAATCTATCTTTCCTTTTCTTTTCTTTCTTTTTCTTCTTTTTAATCTATCTTTCTTTTTTTTCTTTTCTTTTCTTTTCTTTCTTCCTTTAATCTATCTTTCTTTTTTCTTTTCTTTTCTTTCTTCTTTTAATCTATCTTTCTTTTTTTCTTTCCTTTCTTTCTTCCTTTAATCTATCTTTCCTTTTTCTTTCCTTTCTTCCTTTAATCTATCTTTCATCCTTTAATCTATCTATCTTACTTTTTCTTTTCTTTTCTTTCTTCCGTTAATCTATCTTTCTTATTCTTTCATTTTCTCTCTTCCTTTAATCTATCTTTCTTTTTCTAGCCTTTCTTTCTTCTTTTAATCTATCTTTCTTTTTCTTTCTTTTCTTTCTTCCTTTAATCTATCTTTCTTTTTCTTTTCTTTTCTTTCTTCCTTTAATCTATCTTTCTTTTTCTTTCATTTTCTCTCTTCCTTTAATCTATCTTTCTTTTTCTTTTCTTTTTTTCTTCCCTTAATCTATCTTTTCTTTTCTTTTCTTTCTTCGTTTAATCTATCTTTCCTTTTCTTTTCTTTTCTTTCTTCTTTTAATCTATCTTTCTTTTTCTTTTCTTTTCTTTTCTTTCTTCCTTTAATCTATCTTTCTTTTTCTTTTCTTTTCTTTCTTCTTTTAATCTATCTTTCTTTTTCTTTCCCTTTCTTTCTTCCTTTAATCTATCTTTCCTTTTCTTTCCTTTCTTCCTTTAATCTATCTTTCATCCTTTAATCTATCTATCTTACTTTTTCTTTTCTTTTCTTTCTTCCGTTAATCTATCTTTCTTATTCTTTCATTTTCTCTCTTCCTTTAATCTATCTTTCTTTTTCTAGCCTTTTTTTCTTCCTTTAATCTATCTTTCCTTTTCTTTTCTTTTCTTTCTTCGTTTAATCTATCTTTCCTTTTCTTTTCTTTTCTTTCTTCTTTTAATCTATCTTTCTTTTTCTTTTCTTTTCTTTCTTATTTTAATCTATCTTTCCTTTTCTTTTCTTTTCTTTCTTCGTTTAATCTATCTTTCCTTTTCTTTTCTTTTCTTTCTTCTTTTAATCTATCTTTCCTTTTCTTTTCTTTCTTCTTTTAATCTATCTTTCTTTTTCTTTCCCTTTCTTTCTTCCTTTAATCTATCTTTCCTTTTCTTTCCTTTCTTCCTTTAATCTATCTTTCATCCTTTAATCTATCTATCTTACTTTTTCTTTTCTTTTCTTTCTTCCGTTAATCTATCTTTCTTTTTCTTTCATTTCTCTCTTCCTTTAATCTATCTTTTTTTTCTAGCCTTTTTTTTTTTTCCTTTAATCTATCTTTCCTTTTCTTTTCTTTTCTTTCTTCGTTTAATCTATCTTTCCTTTTCTTTTCTTTTCTTTCTTCTTTTAATCTATCTTTCTTTTTCTTTTCTTTTCTTGTTTCCTTTAATCTATCTTTCCTTTTCTTTTCTTTTCTTTCTTGGTTTAAACTATCTATCCTTTTCTTTTCTTTTCTTTCTTCCTTTAATCTATCTTTCCTTTTCTTTTCTTTTCTTTCTTCTTTTAATCTATCTTTCCTTTTCTTTTCTTTTCTTTCTTAGTTTAATCTATCTTTCCTTTTCTTTTCTTTCTTCTTTTAATCTATCTTTCCTTTTCTTTTCTTTTCTTTCTTCGTTTAATCTATCTTTCCTTTTCTTTTCTTTTCTTTCTTCTTTTAATCTATCTTTCTTTTTCTTTTCTTTTCTTTCTTCTTTAAATCTATCTTTCTTTTTCTTTCTTTTCTTTTTTCCTTTAATCTATCTTTCCTTTTCTTTTCTTTTCTTTCTTCCTTTAATCTATCTTTCCTTTTCTTTTCTTTTCTTTCTTCTTTTAATCTATCTTTCCTTTTCTTTTCTTTTCTTTCTTCTTTTAATCTATCTTTCTTTTTCTTTCCCTTTCTTTCTTCCTTTAATCTGTCTTTCCTTTTCTTTCCTTTCTTCCTTTAATCTATCTTTCATCCTTTAATCTATCTTACTTTTTATTTTATTTTCTTTCTTCTTTTAATCTATCTTTCTTTTTCTTTCATTTTCTCTCTTCCTTTAATCTATCTTTCTTTTTTTTTCTTTCTTTTTTTTTCTTCCTTTAATCTATCTTTCCTTTTTTCTTTCTTTTCTTTCTTCGTTTAATCTATCTTTCCTTTTCTTTTCTTTTCTTTCTTCTTTTAATCTATCTTTCCTTTTCTTTTCTTTTCTTTCTTCCTTTAATCTATCTTTCCTTTTCTTTTCTTTTCTTTCTTCCTTTAATCTATCTTTCTTTTTCTTTTCTTTTCTTTCTTCTTTTAATCTATCTTTCTTTTTCTTTCCCTTTCTTTCTTCCTTTAATCTATCTTTCCTTTTCTTTCCTTTCTTCCTTTAATCTATCTTTCTTTTTCTTTTTTTCTTTCTTCCTTTAATCTTACTTTCTTTTTCTTTTCTTTCCTTTCTTCCTTTAATCTATCCTTCTTTCTTTTTCTTTTCTTTCTTCCTTTAATCTATCCTTCTTTCTTTTTCTTTTCTTTATTGCTTTCATCTATCTTCTTTTCTTTTCTTTTCCTTTTTTTTTGTCAGCGCCTTTTTCTAGTTATATTTATGTTTCTCTTCGTTTTCCATCCAGTCGAGTTTGTATATTCACTAACGCGCAAATACCCTTGTGAAACCTTTGAATCCATCCAGTCTCCCGATATGGCAACCTAATGTGGGGATAAATCTGCCTCTTCAGTCATATATCGAAGCGTGTGTCACATGTGGCGCTTAACTGACTAATGTTATCTTTCTTTTCATTATCTTTCTTTTTTCTTCTCTCTTTTCTTTCTTGTCGATGTCTTATTCTGTTGGCGTTCATTTCTTTTCCTTTTTCTCTTTTTCTTTTAATTGTTCTTTCTTTCTTTCTTTCTTTCTTTCTTTCTTTCTTTCAGCTCTTTTCTTCTTTAAGCTTTCTTTTTCAAATCGCCTTCATGTTTTTTCGATTTTCCTTCTGTATACTTTCTTCTACTCCATCACCACCACCATCATCATCATCATCATCTATTTCTTCTTCTTCTTCTTCTTATTATTATTATTATTATTATTATTATTATTATTATTATTACTTGTGTATGTTATGCTTCCTGCTTTGTATCCTTTAGCGGTGCGTCCAAACTATGGCCATTAGGCCCTATATGAGAATTGTCATTTTTAATTGATAGCACTTTTCTTAGTATATGGAATGTTCCTTGTCAGGCAATCTTCCGGGCAACTTGTATGTTGATGTTACCCGGGACAATTGTCGATTCCTTTTCTCACGAGCCCTAGAGCTCTGATTACCATTGTTACATAGTTTCATTCCCCACATCCATATATTCCCGATCTCCAGGTCCTTGTATTTTGACAATTTCTCGATCATTTTCATGGTGTTGTTTGTCTCAGATGGTACTGCTATATCAATAAGCATACACTTCCTGGATTTCTTGTCTTTTATGATAATATCAGGTCTCTTGGCTTTTATTTCCCTGTCAGTTTGAATTGGCATTTCCCAGAGAATAGTTACATCGTTATTTTGGGTAAATGTGGTTGGTGCTCATTCCATCTCTCAGTGGTTTCGATTTTGTGCTTCTTGCATATCTTCAAGTCCACATATATAGCTACCTTGTTATGTCTCTGGGTATATTCATTTCTTGCTAGTTCCGGATATCCTGAGATAATATGGTCGACAATTTCATCATATTTTCAGAAGATCTTGCATTTGGGATTAGTTCCATCCTTGATTATGTGACAGTAATAGGATCAGGTTGCGAGGCGTTGGTCCTGAGCTGCAATAATTAAGCCTTCTGTCTCAGTTTTCAGGCCGGTAATCCTCGGCCACTGATGCGTTTTCTATTCGCATCTACTTTCGTTCCTTTTAGATATTTGCCATGCAACGCCTTGTCTTCACAGCATTTTATTTTTTTATTTTTTTTATTTCATTTTATTTTTTTAAAATTTCATTTGGCCAAGTTGTTTTGTTTTCTGTTTTACTCGTTTGGTGTAGATGGTACCCGCTTCGTGTTTTGTTGGTGAGATATCAAGTATATGAAGCTGTTTCTTGAAGAATGCAGTTTATTTGTTGATGGAGTGGATTTGCTGTTTTACTATTTGAAGGAGAGGGCCATTGATTTTTGTGAGGTGTGCTTCCAATTCGATTGTTGCAGATTTTAGAGTTAGTTTAAGTTGGATTAAACCTCGGCCTCCTAAAGCTCTTGGTACGTACAGCGCATTAAGATCAGATTTCAGGTGGTGCATCCTCATTGGGGTAAGAATTTTTCTGGTCTTCGCGTCCAATCTTTTAATGTCATTCAACTTTTATTTAATACTGTTGATGCTGTATGTTACTACGGATATAGCTAAGGTTTTGATATCCTTCATTTTATTGGCACCATTAATTTCGCTTTCTAGTATCAAACGCACTCTCGTATAATATTCTTTTCGGATCTTTTTCTTCATAATTGGATGTTGTATTCCATCTCCTTCATTAATTCCTAAGTATTTTTATGTACCATCTTGGTCTAGTTCCTTATTGTGTTGTTGATATCAAAGTCTAAATCTGTATTATCATTATTATTATTATTATTATTATTATTATTATTATTATTTCCATGTCCCTTTTTCTTTCATTCCCTCTTCTTTATGCTTTTCTTTTTTCATCTTGCCATTCTTCTCCCTGGTATATTCATTCATTCTTCTCTCTGGAAGGCACGTCACATCGGTGAGTAAGTGACTGAAACCGAGATGCCAGGTCATGATGGATTATATTACAGACCCTTTTTTGAATTTTTTGAACCAGTTATAAAGAAGACATCGTCTGTCATTGTCACTAAAAACTTACAAACTTAGATCTTTGTATCCGCAAATAAAATGGATTGTCAAAATGAGAGGTTTTTTTTTTTCCTATTGAAAAGCCGTGTCTACATCTTCAGTCGACCGTGAATGGACGGACATTTCTGGATCAAACAAATCACAACGTGGGCAGGAAGCAGGATTAAACCAGCGGACCGGTCGAATAATCTACGGAGGCTCAAGGGACCTATGACCACTCCCTTAAGTTCGGTTAGGACCAAGTAGACACCTCAACCCAGAGAGTAAGACGCCGGCGGTTGAAGGGCTGGGGCGAAAGTGTTAGATTAGGGTCCCAGCTATGGGCAAATAGTGAACACCCAAACAAAAATCAACAGTACATTTTTATAATAAAATGACTAACGATATATTTTTGTAGCAAAATGACAATCAGAGCAACACTAAAAAATAATAAAAAAATAAATATATCACTAAAAAAATAAAAATACGTTTTTATAGTAAAATTACCAACAATACATTTTATAATCTACAAAATATATATCTAAAAAACATACCTTTTCTCTGAAAGTATCAAATGATGTATAAAATATCTGTAGTTGAATTCATAAAATTGTGTTTAAAATATTTACATTTCAGTATTAAATAACCCATAGAAGTGTTGATATGCCGCCAAACAAAATCAACTAACCAAACAACCAAAGAATTCTTTCATGACATTAATCGATATAATATCTTACCATTTCTTAAAGAAATCAAACTGTATTACAAAATATAATGTCAGCAAAGCTACAACATAAAACACACCACGTCTAGTAATTATACTCACAAAAACATATATATGTACAAAAGCTGAGTATCATCTACCATGTATTCAATTGTGAAAGTAGAATAACATATATCAAATTTTTATTACTTCAAAGATCCCAAGAAAATTAAATTTTGGCATTAAATGACTCATAAGGAGTTGATATGCTGTTAAACCCACAAATCACATCGAACCAAAACTTTTTCGACCATCTTGGTTATTACACTTGCAAATCTGAAGAGACAAAGTCTGCCTGCCGGGTAAAGTGTATTTGAAACTTTTAAGAATGGACAATAAATAACCTTATCAAATGCTACGTATAAAATAATGTATAAAAAGTATAAAATTATGTACAAAAGATCTGTTGATAAAGGCATACAATTGCGTTCAAAAATATTTAGCGGAAGCAAGAAAATTGATCAAAATAATTAGATCTCAGCATTAAATAACCCATAGAGGTGTTGATATACCACTAAACAAAATCAACCAACCAAACAAAAATATAACGTAAAACATATATATATATATATATATATATATATATTGAACAATAAAAATATTAAAAATTAAAATCTTCAGACACACTGGGTTGTAGATTAATATTCTTTCGTTTTTTATTATTATTTCATTTTGATTCCTCGACTAGTTTATATATAAAATGGCCATCATCAGGAGAAGAAATATTTCTGCTTGCTGGTAGCAGTGAACTACAGAAATCTACAGATAATATATATATATATATATATATATATATATATATATATATATATATATATATATATATATATATATATAGATAGATAGATAGATAGATAGATAGATAGATAGATAGATAGATATGCACACAAGCTCAGTATCATCTACCATGTATTCAATTGTGAAAGAAGAATAACATACATCATATTTTTATTAAAAATTTAAAATTGAATTTCGGCATTAAATGCCCCATAAGTTGTTGATATGCCGTTAAACAAACAAGCTTGAGGTGACACGGTACATAGAAAAAGATAAATATATTTGTATAATGATTAGAAAACATCTTTTAGCCTACCCTGTCGATAAACGCGATATTGTCTTGGGGGTGGATACTTGGATTCATATATTTCTAAAGGGTATTAATGAAAAATTGAACATCAACAGCTTTGGCTAAAAATCGAACATGGTTCGTTTATAATCGTCCCTGTATCTTCAAATATACTCAGTGTAACAACAGGAAGTGAAAAGAGACAGAAAAACGAAGAACAACAATTTAAGGAAAAGAAGGCAAGAAAGATAAGATAAAAAAACAAACAGATAGAGTGATGTAGAAGAGGAAAACGATCAATAAAGAGAAAGACAGAGAGAGAGAGAGAGAGAGAGAGAGAGAGGGTGTA